CAGTGCAGTGCATGTCGTGCAAGTTAATTTCGTACCCAGGGGTCGTACAAGCAGTTGGCGGCATACAATCATTTGCGCTTCCCCCGATTGTCAGAAAACTGTTGCCACGCTGTCATTTTTCTGTTTCCATTAAAAAAACAGAACCGTCACGGCACGTTTCTTAGCCTGTCGCAAGAACTGTCGTCGAGATAGAACTCGAGCCTAACTCGACGACACTGTTGTAACTGTCGTGAACTGTTGCCAGCGTGTCGGGACAAGACTTTCATGTTTCCATTAACCATTTGGTCGCGAACACTACTGTGACGACAGTTACAACACGTTCGCGACACTTACGACCATATGGAAACCAGGCTTACGCACTCCTCTCGTGTACGTTCGACTGAGGCGAATTGATCGTATTCAGTATCGGCATATTGTAATTATTAAAGTCCTTCACATGACACAGTATACTGGCCACTGTGCCGTCATCCATTGTTAATTTCCCTGCAGAAAAATCGTGTGTAATCTTTTCTTTTTATCGGCAGGTCGTTGTCATCTTTATCCAATCATAGGCTCTCCGTGCAGTTCACTCCATGCTGTTAATTCTGGCATTTGGAGACTAGATCAGAAGCAACTTAGTTTTAATTTTAAAGTACAGCTACCTTATGATAAAGTAAGTATATTAGCATAGTGTAGCTTTGTAAAGATTCCACTTCGGGAGGGAACGGTAGTGTATAAAACAGTACATGTATTTGCTAGAAACATGCTAGAAACGCGTGATCCATTTGAAAACTAGGCCATCTATGTGTAGAAGTACGGCAAAAAATAATTATCGAAAAATTTGTGGCGATAACGCGATCTATACTAATATACGGGCGTATATTAATGCAGATCGCGTTATCGCGTGGGCAGTTAAGGTCCATACACTCCGGACGCGATTCGACAACTTTTCATTTTAAATTTTCCAAATATTTAGAAGCGTTAGAACATTTTGAGTTATTTGGTCTATATATATATATATATATATATTTAAAAATTTTCTCTCATTCGCTGTTTTATTAACTTTCAAAAACTAAAAAATCGCGTCGCGTTGTCGAATCGCGTCCGGTGTGTCTGGACCTTTAGACTGTTAACACGAGACAGGACGAAGCCGGGCGCAGCTACGTCCGTATCGTATGTCCACGCAGGAATGCGTAGGTTAGCTGAGCTCGAATTTTCCAGGATTCATGCATCCCATGTGAACACGAAACTCGAACACGCTACACGCGCAATGGGTTTTGAGTTAATCCAGTCCCATGCGAACAGATACTTATCGTGTGTTTACATTTACGCAAAGATTCCTTAAGGTGGCTCCCTAGGGTTTTTGATGAAAAAAATGATGTTGCACATTTCGTGATATCACCTCAACAAGTATAAAGTTTAAAAGAAGAGGGAAAATTTAGGTTTAATTTTTGGCATTATTTGTACAATTGTACAGTTATCGCATCTGACGTGCATACAATAGTCGAAACTCTCGTTTTGTAGCGTGCGATCCAACATGTATTTCATAAACAAGACATGATTTTAAACATTTTTTTAAAATATAAATTACGTGTATGTGATTTACTGTTTTACTGTGTCGGTTAACGGTCAACTAAACGTGGATTATGCATGTAAAATTGGCAAAGATATTTAGATAATTACTGGTTGGTATTAATTTGAAAATGTTCGACGAGTCTTGTGAAAATTCGTCCCGGGCGAGTTAGTACTGTCGTCCGATGTTTTCCCACAACGCCCGTTCAAATTTCAGTTCTGGTATGTTTGTGGGGTTTCGATCCTGCTCATTTCGCTCGGAGGGCTCATTATTTAAGTCACCTTTACAGTCAGAAGTGCTGCTATATTGCGCAGAAAACACTGCAAATACATATCCCAATATTCACGATGGACCCTCGCGTATGGCGGTCTTTTAGTCAAGAATACCGCGTGCTATTTTTTTCTGAAACATCACGTCCAAGCATCGTTGTGAATTTTTTTATACTTTTAACTGAAGCAACATTCACGCATATGCTTGAAAAAGAGTTACATATGTACGAAGAACTTAACCCCCGGGGATAAAAACCTAGGGAGCCACATTAAATTAAGTCGGATGGTGCGTTATGAATAATGAACCATCTTTAGTATAAAATGGACCATTTACTGTACAGCTGTTTCGAAAAAGGTTGTTCTTCAAAAATCTCAAACTCTAAGCGTGCAAGGTGTGATGGATAACTTCTTACTTAAGGCCTAAAAAGTGCGAATTTTGCATTGTAACTTTCGCAAGACAGATAATAAGCACTTAAGATGTACAACTAGCAGTGTACTAGGATTATTTGCCCAATCAAAAGCCATAAAAAGAAGTTACCCATAACTCTTTACCTGCTTAGAGATTAAGGTTTGAGATTTTCGAAGGACAACCTTTTTTGAATTAGCTGTATATATAACGCTAAACTTACGACTATAGACTTCAATCTACTTTTATTCAGGATATTTCAGGAAGACAATATGAACTTCTTCGTAATATTGTGAAGCAACCACACTCCAGAGAAACAGTCAGTACTATACTCAGTTTAAATAAAGCGGTAAGATCATGATGACTTACAAATATAGAGTCGAGCCTGTCAGGGTTTCATTAAAATTTCGACAGCTGCATAGTCATGTTTCGCTCGCTACTCTGGTTTAAATAAATGCTTACAAAGCCCAGTCGAATTTTAATCAAGACCCAACGTTTCAACACTCCCGTCTAGTGTCTTCATCAGGGGTGATCTAAAGTTGCAATCGTGGCTTCTTAAATACCCAAGGGATGACGTCACCTGCCAATGAGATGCATGTATTTCTCTGGCAAATGGGCATGATTACTCATATTTATATGCCACGCTTCTAGGCATAGTCTTTGACTATAGCGATTGTTTGTGGTAATTACTTTAGAGTTTTGACTACGCAATCTCGTGTTTGGTGTAACATACATGTTCAGCTAAAGCTGATTTTCCCTTGTCTAAAGTTGAAACAGCCTTTTGATGTTATTTTAGCCGTGTACCAAACTGGCGCTTAGACTGACCCAAATACTCTTTCTCGCAGTCACCGCATGGTATAGAATATACAGCATGAGTTTGCTGATTTGTTTTAACAGGATCTTTTGGCTTTGCGAAAATACGGCCTTTTCCACCAAACACCAAACCATAGAAGTAATAGATATAGAATGCGTACTTGAGCACGAATCATGTATCCACTTTTTCTCATGCGTGCCCTTATAAATCCGCCATGTTGAATTTGGCTAGGAGTGCAAACTACAAAGTATAAACAAAGTTAAAACCTACGTTTTCATCGTCAAAACGTTTGTCTTGTTGTCTAATTTGTAGTTTGGGGATAGATTTTGAGTCACAAACTATCAAAGCAAATGTGCGGTTACAAAAACGGTGAAAATCCTGCAGCCTTGTAAAAACAAAGTAGTTTCGCGTAAATATAATTTACTCATAAAACATTTTTGCATGCCCTGAACGTCACTACTGTCACTGTTTTGCTAATATCTTATAAGATTACAAAATGATAGTTCTTTCTTCGTCGAGTTTCGTTTTTCTTCAATGTAAACGAAGTTTTTTTATGTTTGTGAAACAAAAATTTTTAGTTGTCGATAAACTGTAAATTGCCTAAATAATCATCGAAAACTATGGCTTCAAAAGCGTTGCCTCGAGCTCAAGCAACGTAGAAAAATATGAAAAGTAATTGTGTAAGTTTAAAAAGATTATTGAACTCCATTTATATTATAAAAGAGTTGAAATATTTGTAGAACATACCTATTGAGTTTCAGTTGAAAAAACAATTAATTCGCACTCCCTGCAACCGCGCGAAATTCCTTGCCTCAGGAGTCTGGGACCAACCAAAATGCCCTTATAAATCCGCCATTTTGTGGAGACAATTTTTTACTGAGAAAAGATAGGAGTACGCATTCTATGTCTATTATTTCTATGCACCAAACACGAGATTGCGTGGGAAAACTCTAAAAGAATTACCACAAACAATCGCTATGGTCAAAGACTTTGCCTAGAAGCGTGGCTTATAAATATGAGTAATCATGCTTTGAATAGGGATGACTGTGCCCATTTGCCAGACGAATACATGCATCTCATTGACAGGTGACGTCATCGCTTGGGTATTTAAGAAGCCACGATTACAACTTTAGATCATCCCTGATGAAGACACTAGACTGGAGTGTCGAAACGTTGGGTCTTGATTACAATTCGACTAGGCTATGTAATCATTTATTTAAACCAGAGTAGCGAGCGAAACATGAGAGATGTACCTGGTTGCAGTGAACGAACAAACTTTAAAGCTGCATTGTGTCTGAAATTATTATAGGTAACTCAATAGTGCGCTGGCCCACCCTCCACAGGGCCCAACCACTAACCTTTTTGGTCATCTTTCTTAGGTGCGCGAAAGATGTCCTGTGTTAGATGAAGTTATTATAGACCTGGTTATGGAAGCGCTTGAGAAATGTGAGCTGGAAACTAGTCTTGAAAACATTAGATTTCTATGGCAACGACTTTGCGGGATCGGCATATCATATGTTATGTTTAATCTATTGAACTTTTCTGCTATAATCTCAGCCTTGAGCGAGAAGGTACGGGTAGAAGTGTGTTAATACATTAATGTAAGTGCACTAAATTGACCTGTGTTTGCACTATATGATATTTATTACAGCATAACTACAACCCAAAGGGTTCGTGCACAATGTATGATTAATGCAACTTTGCCTGGGACGGCTTTGAGTCCGGATGAGTCCTAATATGAGCACCGGACATACAAGGGATGGCTGTTTCTTACTCTTATTACCTGTGAGGATCGTTTAGTTTACATATATTGTAGTTGCAGACTGTGCCAAATAAAGAAAGGCTCTTACAAGAGAGAAAAAAATTTGAATTCATAGACCTATGCTTATAGCCTGCGTGGCAGGCTCATGTTTGCCACGCAGGCTAACCCATGCTGGACCTGTGAGAAGAATAGTTTAGTATACTGATAAATTAGCGACAGTAAATTATAATTTACTTTAGGGTTCTCTTATATGATAACAATTCAACGATAAGGGATGGTTCTCACACCTATTAAAAATGGAAAATTTTAACAACAACCTAGGTTCAACCTGACCCAAGCTAACTCATATCATAACTATAATCTATATATATTGATATCATATCTATAATCTATAACGTTAAAATACTCATTAATAATGCATAAACCTTGGCATGTCAGCCATAATATGTCACGTGGAGTGACTTTATATCTGATAAAACACATGCATTATAATGTTAATAATTATATTTATCCAGGATATCCACATCACTCACGTGTTTTTCAGTGGGGTCCTGCATCAAAATATAATTATTTACAATATTAATTATTAATTATTAATTACAATATTTAAATTGTACAAAAATATACAAATATATACATGCACGTTACAACGATGATAAATAGACCATTAATTTATAATTCATAAAACTTTAATTTAATTTAGTCAGTAAGCATGCAACGTGCCTCAAATGATATGAAAGAATCAAACGATTCTGTAGTCAGGAAGTTAAGATAATATTGCTCAAAATTAAAACGTAGAGACACGGTGCACACCCGCGAACTAAACTGTACACATATATTTAAAATATATCAAGCATGCAATAACTATGTCTACGTACGAAGTAGATTTAATTGAGTCTTAAATTGAGACAGAGAACTAGCGTTTGTAACTGAGCTGTTCAACTTGTTGAAGTCCATCGAAGCGTAGTAAGTAGGTCTAAGTTTACCCTAGTTCGTGTTGGCTTTCGGAAGATGAAGGTTGTTGTTGGATCTTGTGTTGTAGCCCGCGTGCAGGCCCAAGGGAACTGATAGTGGGCCTGCAAGCAAGGCCCGGTATTTTGTAAAACGCCCCTTTTCATAACACGCCCCATTCGCGCGTCAATTGTCAAAAAAGAACCAATGACAGCACCCAAATATTAACAAACAAACTCGCATTAAAATGTTGCGGGGTTTTCTCTGCTTATTGAGAACATAAACAATGTGTAAATGGCTGCGTTTTAACTCCAAAAAAGCAAGCAACGCAGTCAGTAATTGCCAAATTTACAAGTGCTCATTTTCAACTAAAATCGGAACAGGCAAATTAGGACGAATTTCAACAGAAAACCAGTCTCAAACTTCAAATCGTGAGGGAAGTCGTGCGACCACATTAGCATTTATAATATAATGTGTGCTTCGCTGTTGCCATTGTTATAAATAAATTGTCTCACTTATCAGATCGTGTGTGCAATTCTTGTTGGCGGCGGAAAGTACGAAATTTATTTCAGTTATTTCATTTGGTAAAGAACTCTACAAAAGAAGAGACCGTTCAGAGTCCAGATCGTTTCGTTTCAAACGGCAATTTAATACCGTCTTCTGTTTCGCTCTCTCAGCGAAGCCTTGTAAATCGCAAAGTGTTTCGAATAGGCTTACATGCAACTGCATCTCAACATCAACCAAAAGATAATTTTCTTGAGGAACATATAACGTATCAAGTTTGTTTGAAATTAATGAAACTCAAGTAAAGGTTACTATAGTTTACCCCAGTCGTAATGAGTGCTATTCCAACACCTCACGACAAGCAATCCCCATTGGCATAACGGCAAAAACATCTCTTCCTTCAAGTAAACAATAAACAGTCTGTTCTTGTTCCATTTATAATCGAAAAAAGTGATCAATTTTCGAATTTTAAGCTTATCGAGAGCGTTACGAGAGCGTTTGTGATGAATCACTTATCTAATTATAGAATCTAACAGCAAACAGCCAATCAGAATGCCGCGTTCGTGGGCGAACGCGGAAAGTACAAAATACCGGGCCTTGCTTGCAGGCCCACTATCAAGTTCCCTTGAGCCTGCTCCCTTGGGCCTGCACGCGGGCTAACGTGAATCCGATTCGATTTCTCCAGAGCTATGCCCACCCTTAACCTGCGAACGGGCATGCTCGGGGAACGAGATTGACCCAGAGCCATCGTTGAGTGGCTCTGGCCACACCAATCTCGTACCCAGAGCCATCGTTGAGTCAACCTCGTCCCCAGGCGAGGAAGACCCTGGGGACGAGGTTGTCGTTGAGTGGCTCTGGCCACACGGGATTGAAAAACGATCCAACCTCGTCCCCAGGGTCTTCCTCGTGGTGGCGCGTGAGCTGAGGAAGACCCTGGTAAAATACGATGAAATCTCCAAGATTCTTGGAGATTCATCGCATGCGCAGTAACGACAACGTTATGTTGCTGACTACAATTAGCGCTGGCGCTTACGATTTTCTAGCTTAAAAATACACATGTTTTGTTGATTCTTTATGTATTTATTCTCAAAGTTTTAACAAATTTTAAGAAAAATACCTCAGATATAAGCTGTGAACACACATGTACACAAAACTGTGCAACATTCGTCATCATATTGTATCAATTTGTCGGAGTATGGCGCTCATATTTGTGACAATGTTTTGTTCGCTTTGGCAACCCTCGTATATATCAGATGCTGTTCGGCCTCAAATGCGACTGAATGAATACTGATGGTGTTGCCTGGAATATGAAATGATATTGACTGATTGTTCTGTATATCAAGGTAGGTACTGTACATTTATACTGAATTTATTCGATTTATTTTCACACGTTGCTTTCACATTTTCCCAGAGTCTCGGAAATCACATTTTCTATTAAACACAGTTTCACACATACAAGACTTCATTTCACACATACAGAAAGACTTTTAATCAAATTATGATAACAGTTATGATAATTATGATAACAGTAGAAATTGCTTAGAAAGATTTTATTCCTTTTTCCATATACAGTACAACTGTTATTTTGATTTTCTCTTTCCTATATTTTCTTTAATTAAAGCAGGTACTATTCTGTTACAAAACAACTGATAAACATTTTATTATTTTAACAGGTGAACCATATTTTACATCAACTTGGGAAAAGCCAACTTGAATTCCATGGAAATATATAATCATGTCATCAATCAGATAGTAAACAATCATTAAGAATTAGATGGCCTCAAGATTATATTTCACATTGACCAACATGGCATTATAGTTTTCTAATGTTCATCAAGGTGAAGAAACTCACTATACCTTTCCCTGGTACAGAGCCATGGTAGTAATCTTAGAATATTTTCATGATGCCTCTATTCAGTAGTTCTTCCCAGTCTAGTATTATGACTGTATTATTTTAAATAGCCTTGTTTGACTTTTGTATTTTGTTTCTTTAATAATACAATCATTTACAATGGTGAAAATTACAGTTTAATATTTGTATTTCTAATGATAATTACTTGCACATATCCATCACACTTCTCTATTACTATATTACTACCATGCAAGTAAAATCTCTTGGGAAAAATAAAATGTTGTCCCAGGATGGTCATAAATATCAGCTAATAAAACTAATGAATATACCCATAATCATGTACATATGACTATCATATAATATGTTGTAATTCCTTTGAGTGTTTCAAATCAAATAAATTTTTATTTTCAGTTGTTCATTGTTCAAACTTATTTGAAACCTACAGTATATGTAGTTGCTATGATTCAAATTAATATCCAAAAGTGTGCCTTTTATAGACTCCACCCTAATACAGATACTTTATTGTGCCACTCCAATGTTCATTCAAAGTGATCCAACTGACATCTGAGCTGGTGATAATATACAGCAAAGTATTGGAACTAGGAGTATATCACATAAGTTGTTCATTCAGTCAAGATATCCAGGTTGTGCTGATCATATCAAACTCCATCACATATTGTGCCTTAAAAACATATATACAAATTTTAAAACTTGTTGCAGCACACTGGGCAATTCCATTTAATATAGCCCCCCACACCCTATTGAGGGGTCTCTTCATAATACTATTACCTTAAACATTTTGGAACCTCATTGGATGCAATTTTGGAACCCCCATGGATATCTTTCTACCCCTTTAGGATATTGTTCCTGCCCCTTTGGATATCACTAAAACACCTAATTTTTTGGAAATCTCTTAAGCTACCCTACAGAAAAATTTAAGGTAAAATCCCCCTCTCTAAAATCCCCATATAGGATATCCAGACCTCAATAGTGGGGCTATTTATAGATGGAATGGCCCATTTGACTTGGTGAGTGGTGACTACCACCAAAGCAAAATGAAAGCATGCTGCCCTGCATTCCATACTGTAGAAAACAAATAAATTTTGAAGGATTTATGCTGTTACTTGTAACGATAATCAGAATTGATGAGAAAATTCTTTCTGTCTTTCTGTATGGCTGTATGTTAGTGATGTGATCTCACTGTTCATTATAAGGCTGAAATAGTTTGAAACTCGTGTGAAAATAAATTCAGTATAAATGTACAGTACCTACCTTGATATACAGAACAATCAGTCAATATCATTTCATATTCCAGGCAACACCGTCAGTATTCATTCAGTCGCATTTGAGGCCGAACAGCATCTGATATATACGAGGGTTGCCAAAGGGAACAAAACAATGTCACAAATATGAGCGCCATACTCCGACAAATTGATACAATATGATGACGAATGTTGCACAGTTTTGTGTACATGTGTGTTCACAGCTTATATCTGAAGTATTTTTCGTAAAATTTGTTAAAACTTTGAGAATAAATACATAAAGAATCAACAAAACATGTGTATTTTTAAAGTGCCACTGCGATGGAAAATTGTGCTGTCTTTTTATTGTATATTCAGAAAGT